TCGTTTTCGTCACGTAATAAAGGTTCGTTGACGACGATATTTAGTCATAATTTTCGTTGACGAAAGCAACACTATGTCTCAGGCCATGTTAGCTAAACCAAACATTAGGAGGGTGAAGGATGGTTTACTTAAAAGTGCACCTTCATTTAACTGGTCCTGCATGGCTAGAATTTGTCACTGGTTGTTTTATACTGCAGTGCTTATTGTGCTCAGTGCCTTATTGTTTATGCTGTGAATGATCAGAATCAAATAAAGTCTTAACAAGATGCACTAATGCACTATTATGTGTTTTTGTGACCTCAGAGGCTTTTGTTTAGTTTTATTCACTTGGGTGTGTGTCTCTGCATTGTGCATTGTCCAGCAGTTGTAATTGAGTGAGAGTACCAGGCTGTTCCACTCATGTTTTCCAACTCGGACAGCATTCAAGTGCCTCAATGCTCTCTTCTAAAGCTCTTGAATTATATGATGTGATTTCAATTTTTCCTTTCTCTTTGGAGTGTTACAAGCTCTTGGTGCATAAAGAAGATCTGTAAAGTTGCAAAGACTAAAGTCTCAAATCCAAAGAGATATTCTTTATAAAAGTTAAGAGTCAGCCACACCTACCTAAAACGGCTCGTTCTAACACGCCCCCACATATCTACCTCACTATGTGGGAAGATTTGCATAACGCCGCCCAAATGTTCACGCAAAGAAAGAAGGCGTAACTTTTAGTCTCACTGTAGTTTTGTTGACGCTGCAGCCATGTCGTGAAGACGCTTGTGTGCTTCTTGTGAAAGCGAAACTACTTTGTTTGGTCTTCCAAAAGAGGACGATATCCGCTTCGTCATGCCTAGAGCTGATCTGTGCTGGTCGCTGGTTGGAAAATAATGTGTTTTTTTTACTTTAAACCGCATAAACACATTTCATTACACCAAATACACAAAATAATGTTCTTTTTAGCAGCATCATATCACCCCTTTAATATGCTTGCTATTTGCGTTATAAACTGTTTGTGTTTTAAACTCACCCAGCTGTTCGAAATTTTTTATTGCTAAAAAGATATGGATTTTAAATGACTTCAAGACACGTACAGGTAGGGTTTCCACCCGTCTCGTAAAGTAGTCGATTGTCCTGTGTTTATGAATGAAATTATGTGGTGTTTCAAATCGATACTGGACACTGTCCCATTCAACCTGTTTGACGTTCATTCAGTGGGACCCCGCCAGCATTATAAATTTAGTTTCCATTGTGATATTCGTTAGAAATTCACCTGTGGTGGAAAGGGATCATGTAAAAGTCCACGCATTTACCATGTTTTTATCATAGTAACATGTCGCTCAACCATGTCATGTGTAATAAAACCTCAGTAACCACAACACATATATCTCCCGTCTTAACTGTAGTTTTAGTCCTGTAGTTCTGTAGAACTGTAGTTCCAGCGATATTGTTGACTTGATTGCACAGATACTATTTAAACTGAACTGAGCTGGACAATGACATCACTGAATTCAATGATGAACTGCCTTTAACTGAAAATCGATTGAAAGTTTACTATTGTTCTTCTGCACTGACACACTATTTTCCTATGTTGATACTGTAAAGCTGCTTTGACACAATCTGTATTGTTAAAAATGCTATATAAATAAAGTTGACTTGACTTGACTAGTTTTACTTTGGTATTTGTAGTTAAAACACGGCATCATGCTTTTACCACAGTAACTGTTTATTGTGTACTCTTTAGTTAAAGCACAGTAACACAACACTTACCATGGTTTTACCACAGTAACTGTGTATCTACTGTGTGCTATTTGTAAAGCACAGTAACACCACAATTACAATGATTTTACAATAGTAACGTTAACTGTGTTTTTACTGTGTACTATTTGTAGTTAAAGCACAGTAACGCAACACTTACCATGGTTTTACCACAGTAACTGTGTATCTACTGTGTGCTATTTGTAAAGCACAGTAACACCACAATTACAATGATTTTACAATAGTAACGTTAACTGTGTTTTTACTGTGTACTATTTGTAGTTAAAGCACAGTAACGCAACACTTACCATGGTTTTACCACAGTAACGTAGTTTTAATGGGGTATTTGTAGTTAAAGCGCAGTAAACACATCACTTGCCATGCCTTTTATACCTTTTTGTAATGTAATTGTAATTCAATGGTTTTTTTCTGTCTTGCAGTTTCTTCAGATCACATACATCTCCATCTCCTACAACAACATTTAGTGTCCAGCAGCTCTTTATGAAGCCATTACTCCTTACTTTGTGTTAATAACCTTCCTTATAGTCCTTCCTTTCAAATATTTTGTTCACAGATCATTTCTAACACACTGTCTCAACATGTATTAAAACAACAACAACATTTTCTTTTTTCTTTATTTCAGCTGAAAAGGAAGACCAAAGAAAGACCTGTCAAACTCTTGTCAAACCCATCTTGTTTGTGGAGAGGGATGAATTTAACCATCTTTTGCGTTTATGGAGAAGACCAAAAGCTGCAAAGGCAAACATTTCCAATGGTACGCCTGTGTTGGTCTGAGCACCTTGACTGAACTTTACTGCAGTTACATTTTGCACCACATTTGATGTTTCTTAAACTTTTTTACATACCCCACGACTCCATCAGTACGAACCCTGTGCTACGTCAAAGTAGTAATAATTCATACAATTTCAGCAAAGCCATATGATATTGGACAAGCGTACACGTGCAAAAATTCTACGGCTTTTACTCCTGCTGTCATTAGCCATTGCCTCAACTCTCATGCAGATTGTGCCCATTGTAAGTAGTCAGAGTGTTTGTATCATAAAGTTTATATAGAGTCCATTGTATTCTTTATTAGCCTTTACAAATTGGCACCGTCTCTTCCCGTTCTAACAGTACATGATATCTGTCCACACCTCAGAGTCTGCCTTTCTTTCCATGTTGATTTTTATTGAACACATCTGTCTAAAAAGCAAGACTGGAAATGCTAGTTTAACATGTCATGTGACACATCAGCAGGGGCCGGTTGCGTAAACTGTTTAGTCTTAAAAAGTTAGTCATCTAATTTTTTTCTTCAAGACTGGTCATAACTTTTTTTATTCAGTTATGAAAAGGTTGATTAGTCTTATTTGTATTGGAAAATTAAGACTGATTACCCCTTGGCAGCTGCTAGTTGGTCAAACTAGTTCTTAAGACACAGTCTTAACATGGTGGCTAAGTTTATGCAACTGGCCAGGTCCAGTTGCATAAACATCTTAGACTGGTCTTACAAGTTAGTCATCTTTTTTCTTTTTCTTTTTTGTTAATACTGTGTAAGGCTTCTGCGAATATCGCACAAATGAACGATTGAATCTCCGCATTCCACCGGAAAAACTAAAGACTCTCTTCCCCAGCTATCTGCGGTCGTAAAGAAGATCAATGATCAACAAGGCACCTAATTGTCTGGACCTGCTTCCGGTCAAGACCTGGTCCTTATCCCTTAGGGGGATCTGAACTGCTTAAACCTTAACTCAAACTAGGATACAAACTATCTTTGTTTTACGGGCTTTCAGGGACCAGATGTGCAGTGTAACGTTGACCGGCTTCAGCATAAATAAACCAGCTAATAAACAACAGAACAAAGAACATGGTATCTGGAAATGTTCCAGCGACAGACTCACCCGGACCCCATGACCGTTTAATGCATAAATTGCATTCCAAAAAAGGGACGCATCCTTTTACTACTTTCAGAAAAGCGCGCGTTTCTCCTGTCACAGACAAAGGGACACGAAACTTACAACAGACAATTTCAACAGATAATAATTTGTGCGCATAAAAGGGCAACCAGATTCACAAATAATATGTTGTATGTCTTATATATATGCTTGACGTGTTTCATGTAATCGGTGCAACTTTAATCAGTGTTTATTACCCTTTTTAGGAAATAAGGTTATTAAAATGTGTGTAATATGTGAAGTTTAATCTTGAACGAATGGGCACGACAAATGCAGAATGTTGAAATGAAGTAAACTTTAATAGTATGTACAATACTTGCATTT